CACACACACACACACACACACACACACACACACACACACTTGAGTAGGAAGAGCTGCTGTATATAATTTATGGCAAGCCCCAGAAAGGCCTTTGTGGTTCTGGAGCAAATCTATGCCATCTAGAGTGGAGAGTCACCCTTTGAAAAATACTCATGCATACTATAATACTACAAATGAACAAGGAAAAACCAAATAACTAAATTAAGAGCAAAAGACAAGAATAAGCAATTTGCAAAAGGAGATACCCAACTGTCTTGATAAACATGACAAGTTTTTCAACCTCATTAGTCATCAGGGAAACACAAATTAAAACCACAATGAGATACTACTTTATACCAATGACAACAGCTAAAATAAAATAACTGATGAACCCAAGTGTTTTTAGGGATAGGAAATAACAGGAAGCTCATTCAGTGTGTTGACACTGATACTGGAAACCTGAAATATCATTATGACCCCTCCCTGTTAGAACTGAGGAGGCAACTTGAGGGCCAGGTAATAGGTAGAATTTTGTCTTGGGCCTGGGTCTATAGTGGGTCTATAGTGTGTGCATTGAGTCCTTGGTCTCTTTAGCTATCCCTGAGTGTGAAGTGGGTTGGGTCAGAAGTAAACCAATATTTGATATATTGGAAAATGCTAGGGGTAGGATAATAGAAATAAGCCCCAACATTAGGGATATAAAGGATGCAGGGGACTGGAGAGATGGCTTAGTGGTTAAGAGCACTGATTGCTCTTACAGAAGATCTGGGTTCGAGTCCCTCCACTCACATAGCAGCTGGCAACCTTCTGTAACTCCAGTTCTAGGGGATCTGAGACCCTCTCTGGTTTCTGTGGGCTTTTCATGACATGGTACACTTATATACATGAAAGCAATACACTCATACACATAAAATAAAAAAAATTTTTTTAAAGGATGCAGGTTGGAGAGGTCTACTATACCTCTGTTAGATTTACCATTCTTGACCTAAATGAAACCAGGTAAATCCTGCAGGTTGACTATAGACTACCATAAATTAAATCAGGTCCTACAAAGTCCCCTTTGCAGCTGTTATGCCAGATGTTGATATGCTTTCTAGAGAAGATTATTTTAGCCCCAAGTACATGGTATGCAACCACTGATTTGGAAAACATGTTCATTTCTATCCCCTCAGAAAAAGAGACAGAATAATATTTGTATCTACATGTAATGGGCTATCATTTTTTCCCAGGGCTATGTCTCCAATCCTATGTCATAATATAGTGGGAAGAGATTTGGACTATCTAGACACAGAGTATCACATTGATCTACTGCATTGGTAACATGTTAATGATCCACATGATCAAGATGTGGAGAGCAGGATGGAGGCCTTGGTGCAACGCTTCAGAAGGAGCTCTATGGAGATTCAGGAGCCTGTCAATCCATACAAATTTTAAGAGCCCGGTTGTTAGGGGCATGCTGGGATATTCCCTCTAAGGGAAAATCCCTACAAGTTGTTGTATCTTGTACTTATTACTACAAAAAAGAACGGGTGGCTCTCTTCAGTATCTGGAGCCCAGCTCTGCTCCAATCTATTGTGGCTCAAAATCTGGTGTCATAAAAGGTTGATAGCTTTGAATGAGACCTAGAGAAGGTCTGAAACATGAGCATTTTGCAGGGCGCACAGGTGGAGCAGAGAAGACACTGTAATTTGTGCCAAGTTCTAGAAGGGTCCTTGGGTCTCTGGAGCAGATATTTTAAAACCCTTTGAAAAAGAACTCATGTTCACTATTAGGCCTTCAAAGGAACAAAAAAGGTTGACCATGAGACACTAAATAACTATGTAGCTGGACCATCAAGATTTGAGTCCTATCAGAACCACCAATACCAGTTCATCATAGCTCTGAAGTGATATGTCTAGTATCAGTCAGGCATAGGACCAGAAGGCATGAGAAAATTGCATGAGCAGATAACCTTGACCCTGGTCATCCTTACTATTGTAGAATGAGAATTTCCTTTGCTACTCACACATATGACTCTGGGAAATCCTAGATAACCAACTGAAGAAAACCAAGCCCTGTGATTGGCTTACAGATGGATCATATATTAGTATATAACATACTCTGCTCCAAAGGCCAAAAATGTCAAAAGTATTTGGGAGCTCTTATCTAATCCTTAAAAGATTTTAGGGTTACCTCTTCAGAGGGGGAAATGTTAGAGTAGCAAAAAGCTACATTAAAAAAAAAAGAGTACACAAAGTTGTTCAGGAAAAAGGGATGGGGAGATATGGGAAGAGTTGGGGGGGAGGGAGTGGGCATGGATTTGATCAAAACACCTTATATTATGAAATTCTCAATAAATTTTTTAAAGGTTAAAAAAAGGTATTTTAAGACCCCCCCACCACCACTGCTCAGGGACCATTGTGGAAGAGGGAGGCAGAAAGACTGTAAGAGCCAGGGATGGTTCATGAACATAGGGAAGCAGAGGCTTTCAGACCACTTGAAACTTGTACATGTGAACTTGTGGCAATGGTGGCATCGAGCATGGGACCCATGCCAACTCAACCACACAAGGGCCCAGAGTGGAGAGAGGGAAATGGGTGGTGGTTCATCCTAATCTGGAAACTAATGGAAATGGATTATTACTGGGTGAGGGAGAGTAGGCCTTACCAACAATCTCTAGATAGGCTGACTAGACTCCAGTGGATGAATTTGCACCGAAGGACATCCTGGGTACAAATGCTTGACTGGATAGGACTTAACATCTATGGCGGAATACATGAAGTCCAGTGGGGGTTGGGGGGGCATGGGTGGAGGAGGGGCCTGAATTTAATTAATAACTGTTATATGAAATGTACAAAAGCTCAATATAAAATTGAAAAAAAAGGATAATGGTGGCTAATGACTCAGCAGTTAAGAATACTTACTGCAACGCAGCCTTCTCCTCTGACATCTGCCTGTTGTCGTCTAGCAACTCAAGCAACCTGCTTGGACTCGCCATGGACCCTAACTGCTCCTGTGTTACAGATGGATCCTGCTCTTGTGCAGGCTCCTGCAAGTGCTAAGAGTACAGATGTACCTCCTGCAAGAAGAGCATGTAACTAATAATAAAACTTGTTGACTTAAAAATAAAAAAAAAAACTTACTGCTCTTACACAGGACCTGAGTTCAGTTCCCAGAACCCATGTCAAGCAGCTCACAACCACCTGAAACTCCAGCTGCTATTAGAATGCTGTCAGCCCTCTATATCAATGTGCTCCACATCTGTGGATTCAATCAACCACAAATTAAAATATTAAGAGGAAAATTACTTCTGAGCCAGGTGCAGTAACATATGCCTGTAATTCCAGCATTTGGGAAGTGGAGCCAAGAGTTCAGTCACCATCACTGGTCTCATATTGAGTTTAAGATCAGCCTGAAAGAGCCAACTGTGGCAGTGCACGCCTTTAATCCCAGCACTCAGGAGGCAGAGGCAGGATCTCTGTGAGTTCAAGGCCAGCCTGGTCTACATTACAAGTTCCAGGCCAGCTGGGGCTGCAGGGAGACCCTGTCTCAAAAATGACCAGAAAAAAAGAAAGAAAAGAAAGAAAAAGATCAACATGAGATCTTTTCTCAAAACACCTCTCCTGAAATATATCTGTATGATATCTGTATTGTAGACTTTTTTTCTTGTCATGTTCCCTAAACAATACATTAAAACTAATATTTATATAGCATCTTCATCATATTAGATATTATAAATGATCTAGAAGTTTAAAGTACATAGAAGCATAAGTTTATAGGTCATATGCAAACACTGCACCATTTTATATAAGGGACGTTAGTATCTTCAGAATTTGATATACAAAGAGAGGAGGGAGGTGGGTTTTAGAACCAATTTCCCAGAGATACAGAGAGACAATTATATTTATATAAACAAATAAAACAATTGTATATATAAATAAGGCATATATATTCATAGGTAGTGGCAACTGTCCTGGCTAACTCCTCTGGGGTCTTGGAAACCTGGAGACAAAAGGATATGGAATAAAGGTGAAGATGGATTTAGGAGATGGACCTGAAGTATGAAGGCCTTTGTGTCACAAGTCAATAACCACCAGAGAGTATCCACTAAGAGGACTTTTCATATCTGTATTAGCTCCTTTTCTATTTCTGTGATTAATGCTCTGATAAAAGCAACTTAAGGGAGAAAGGGCTTATTTGGGCTTACAGTTTGATGGCACAGTCCAACACTGTAGAGAAGTCATGGTGGTGGGAGTTTGAGGCAACTGATCATATCACATTCACAGTCAGGAGGTAGGGTTAAATGGCAGTGCTCAATTCACTTTCTAGTTTTTATTCAGTCCAGGATTCCAGACCCTGGAAAGGTGTTGCCCATAATTAAGGTGTGTCTTCCTACCTCAATTAACCTAATCTAGTTAATCCCTCACAAGCATGTCCAGATGCTAACCTAATGTAGGTATCATGTGTACCTGGTAGTCTTGTCTCCTAGGTGATTCTAGATTGTGTCAAGTTGACAATCAATAATAATTGTCACAATATCCAGGAAGACAAAAATGACAAAGCTAGTTGACCTTAGCCAGTTTCTGCTATCAGCCACATATAGCGTTGGCATTAAATGGCACATGGGTAAAGTGACCAAAATACCAGATAGAGTCTGTGATGGCTAATTTTGACTGTCAACCTGATAGGATCCAGAATTACCTTGGAGACAGACCTTTGTGTCTTCTGTGAGGGAGTTTCCAGAAAGGATAACTGATGGAGAAAAACCTGCCCTCAGAGTGGGTGGCACTTTCCAACTGCAGGCCCAGATAGAAGTCCAAAGGAAAAGCAGTGTTAGGGACTGGGGAGATGGCTTAGTAGGTAAAGCATTTGCCATGAAAGTCTGAGGACCTGAGTTCAGATCCCCAGAGCTCATATGAAGCCAGACATAGCACAGCAGCACACATCTGTAGTCCTAGCACTCTTATGGTGAGATAGAAGGTAGAGACAGAAGAACTCAGACAGCTAGCCTGGTGTATGCAGGGAAAAACAAGGCACCATTTCTAGAACAACGTGGAAGGTTAGGATTGGCACTCAAGGTTGTCTTCTGACTTCCTCATGAGCATGTGCAAGCCCATCCTCATACACATGAACACACATATCATTAAACACACACACACACACACACACACACACACACACAGATTTTTTAAAAAGCAGTATCTCCTGCTTGCCTTCATTTCTTCCAGTTTAAGTGTATCTATTGATGCTGACATCACTGCTAACATCAGACTCAGCATCACAGTATGAACTGAATACCAGGGACTCTCTAGGAATCTTCCAGGCCTTCTTTGACAGATAGGGCTGCTGAGGCTTTCAACTTCATGGACTGAGCAGATACAGATTTCTTTATCTTCCAGTGTGTGGTTGATCTTTGTTGGACTATCCAGGTCCTATCACATAAGCCAATCTAATGCATCCCCTTCCATAATGTATATACTTCATTTGGTTCTATACCTGTAGAGAACCCTAACACAGAGGCTGCCCATAGGACCAACAGCACTTACCAAAGCTGATCTAGCTACTACATTGGCCAAATTTTTAAAAATATTTTTATGTATATGTGTGTATTGCCTGCATGTAGGTAAGTGCACTCCTGTTGTGCAATGCCTGCGGAGGACAGAAGAGGCTGTTGGATCTCCTGGAACTGGAGTTACAGACAGTTGTTAGCTGCCATGTGGGTACTGGGATTTGAACCTGGGTCTTCTGCGAGAACAACCAGTGTTCTTAACCACTGAGCCATCTCTCCAGCCCTACATTGGCCAAATGTTAGCCCTCCACTAACAAAGATCAACTCAAGACTGAGAATATGATACTATTCCTTGAGGAGACCAGCTGAACTCCAACACTGAATCCCTTTTATTCTGGAAGAGTCAGAAGTTCATCCTCAGAGGAAAAATAGATGTCAGGTTTAGATTTGCCTTTCCCACCCCCAAGTTCTCAAGCCAACACCATTTTCCAAGGACTTAGGAGGTGTTTGATTTACTGGCCTGGAATCCTACATAACTGTACCAGACTAGGAATGAACATGTGTTACAAAACTTTTCCTGGGGATACATGAACACATGTCTCTTCACCCCTGATAGGGCACCAATGACAGAGCAAAGAAATGATGCCGCTTAGGTCTAGCCTAGTGAACCAATGAGTTTAATTGGGTTTATTTATAGCAGCACGGGTGAGGGCTTACTTACAGGAGCATGGGAAACTTATGGGTGATCAAACCACTGAAATCCTCCCCTTTTCAGCTGAGCCATCTCCTTCCCACAAGGGAATGTTAGTGGGCCTAATCTTGTTAGGGTCACAGGTAGTCACAGCTACTTTGATTTTTTAAAAAATATTTTATTTATGGGGCTGGAGAGTTGGCTCAGTGGTTAAGAGTACTGGTTGCTCTTACAGAGGACTTGGGTTTGGTTCCCACCACCTAGCCACCCATAACTCCAGTTCCAGTGAAATCTGAGGCCCTCTTTTGACCTCTGAGGCATTTCTCAACACGTACACTTACATACACGCTGCCAATATACTCACACACATAAAATAAAAAAATAATAAATTTTATGAGCTATGGATGGTTATTAGCCGCCATGTGAGTGCTGGGAACTGAACCAGAGTCCTCTGCAAGAGCAGCCATTCCTCTTAACCACTGAGCCATCTCTCCAGTCCCTGATTTTTTTTTTTTTTTTGAGGTAGAGTCTCACTATGTATCCTTGGTTGGCCTGGAGCTTACTCTGTAAACCAGGCTGGTCTCAAACTCACAGAGAACCACCTACCTCGGCCTCTTGAGTGCTGGGATTAAAGGCATGTACCACCCAGCATGTTTTCTGATTTAAAAATAACGTCAGCAATGCCATGCATGGAAGCTAGAGTTCCATTAACATATCATATTTATAGGTCATATCCTATACTGCTCCACTGAGAAGATTCTAGCTTATTGTGTTAGGGCAGAATGATGAAGGTACAACCGAAGCAGCTTTGTTTTTTGTTTTATTTTTACAAAAACTTTATTGAGAATTTCTTACATGCATATAAGGTGTTTTGATCAAATCCATGCCCACTCCCTCCCCTCCAACATTTCCCCCTCTGAAGAGGTAACCCTAAAATATTTAAAGATTAAATACAACCTCCCAAATACTTTTGATATTTTTGGCCTTAGAACAGAGTATGTTGCTAACAGGCCCAAGGACATTTTGACTTTTAGCCAAGAAACTGAATAAATTTCTTTGGAGTCTTTTTACCCTAGCTGCCTAGCCAATTCCTACGAAATGGACACCACAGGAAAATTCCAAACACTGAAGGAAAACATCATTTCAAATCCACATAAGCTTTTCCAAAAACATAAAAGTACACATTTCCAAGTTGGTTTTATAAGGACTACAGCAGGAAAGGTGAAAAGTACAAGGGAAGCTTATTACAAGAATAAATGAAATACTTAATTTAAATATTAACAGAGTCAAGCAATGCATAAAAATGATAATAAGTTATACAAAATTCAG